TATATATATATATATATATATATATATATATATATATATATATACACATTAACTGACTAAGTTAGACACAGCACAAAATTTACCATTCGCTATGATTTGAAAAAGAAAAAGTCTTGACAATGACAAAAAATACATGAAAATTAACAAGTAACTTATACTCCTAATACTCTCTTTTGTAAATCGTATTACAATATTTTCTCTATAGATCATAATAATCATCTTCAAAGAACAAACCTTCAATATACTGAATAATAATGATATATAAATATATCATATTTGTAAAATATAATCATATAAGGGAGCTCATGGAGCAGTGGGTAGCACTGCTGCCTTGCAGTAAGAAGGTTTTGGGTTCGATTCCCGGCCCAGAGCATGCGTGGGTTCTCTCAGGGTACTCCAGCTTCCTCCCACAGTGCAGAAACATGACTGTTATGTTAATTGGCTTCTCTAAATTCTCCTTAGGTGTGATTGTGTGTGAATGGTTGTTTGTCTCTGTGTCTCACCCCCCTGAATCCAACCATAATCACCCATAGGCTGCTGGCACCAGCACCCCTTGTAACCCCACTTGGGACAAGTGTGTCTGATGATGGATGGATAATCGTGTAATATATTAAGAAAAAACTTTGTCAAAACAAAGTGAAATTAATATTTATTTCCAAAATGTGCAAATATCTCATCCAGTTTGATGAGATATGAAAAAAAGATGTTTGCCCCAGAAATTTTGTCCACTACCCTTTATTTAGACAGCATGGATGTTTAAATATTTGCATCTATTTGTTAGCCAAGGCTGTAGGAAAGTATAGTTAGTCTTTATTTAGAAAATATGTTAGAACAGCGTAGATTAACCCTGAGGTTCTGGTTTCTATCCGCTTTCGGCCGCCCCTCAGTGTACATTGCTTATTGACTGGCCGCCCCTATAGAAATGTTCTGGCTATGCCTCTGAAGATACAGCACTGGGACTTGATCAACAGCCGATACCGCACCGTGGCGTCACAAACAAGTAGGTGGCAGTAGTGTTCTTTGACAAACATGGATGCCTCCAGTAAAGCACATTCAAATGAAAATTACTCTGGATTAAAAACATTTATTATTTTTGTATTTAAAGTACTTTCAGAAGTTTGAATTCTGAATATAACGGGACTTCTCCTTTAAACCTATGCATGGATTTACGTCTAGTTGAGCTGTGACGCAGTCACGTCGCGTTCGTAATGACGCACGGGTTGTACGCGCTGAAGTAGTGGGTGAAGATGGCGGACGAGGAGGCCGAGCAGGATTGTGGGCTTGTGAACAACACAATTAAAACTATCGAGGAACTCAGAACATTGCTGGAAGGATTACACGATGCTGTGGTTAGAGAAAGCGCCAAGTCAGCGAAGCAGGCGTCCTCTGACTACTGTCAGGGCTTCTGTAGGGTGAGTTTGCGCTGCACTGCCTGCTAAACAGGCCACAGAAACACGGAGCCTGCAGGAACGACGCTGGCTCCCTCCACTGTTAGCGCTTTAACGGCTCCTTTTACTCACGCTTTGTTTGCCTTATAGCCATTTATCATTTAGAACGTTGTGTTTACCTGCCAAACCTCATCTGTCTTCATGTGAGTTTGGCAGGATGACTGTTAGCATCGGCTAGCACTGAGCTCACTGGAAGGAGAAACGAAGAGCAATGAAGCAGACTTTCTAGAAGAGGCTTTTCCTTCCCGCTGTTTGCTGATGGCACCGCAGATCGCCTCTCTACCCGCTGCTTTAAGTCTCGCTGGTAAAGGTGTGCAGCTTGATGGTGATTCGGTGTTAGCCTGCTGCTAGCTCAGCGTTAGCTTCATCTGGAGCTGCAGGGTCGCGTGCAGGATGTGGATCTAGCTGCCTGTTTCCATCGGACTCTAGTTCCTACATTATCTGCTGTTGATGCATTTTATGGAAATGTTGGCTGATTTAGGCCTGTCGAGGGGAAACGGGGGATCTGCTAGTTTTTGTCCTGAGTTTATGTGCCGGATAAAGAGAAAATAAGCAGTTTTATTTGTAGTTTTCCTTTCATTCTAGCGGATTATCTCCGCTGTGTGTTGGATGGAGGAGGTCAGCTGAACAGAAACACCGTTCACACACATCAGGGGATAGATAATGTCACACAAACTCTTTGGTCTTTTTTTGCTCCAAGCTCGATTATTACCCAGTAAACCGGAATTAAAAACATTTTGTTGGACCTAAACTCCGAGTAGAATCTCCGTTCAATTCACTGCATTTAAAAACGGATATAAATGTTTCAGCATAGGTATAATTCTATTCAGTTTATTTCTA